TGTGTGTGTGTGTGTGTGTGTGTGTGTGTGTCAAGTCAATGCAAAGTCTTAATGGATATTTGTGCACCTTGCTGAATAATCTGTGTTTGGGAAAAACTGCTACAGCTGTACAGATCTATCTCATTTTCTTATTGTACCTTATTCCATTACACAATCAGGGAGGAACGAGAGAGCACGGCAAACATATAGATGGGAGCTTTAGACCGAGACAGCTTCACAGTTGAAATAGAGTTGGCACAGATAGAGCTGATAGTAGCCGAACCTTTGCAAATGAGAACTGTATGTATGAGAGAGCCCATGGTAGACAGAGGGTGGTGGGAAACCTGAGAACTGCATACAGCCAGTGATCAATGCAAAGAAGGAAAGAGGCTCAGCCAGAGAAGGAAAAGGGATAAATCAGGTTGGGAGGGAAAGATAGAACAGGTACTAACTAGACAATGGCAGAAAGGGAACAGAGTGAAGACGCAATGGGGTCTTGTCCTCTGCAGGTGCAGTGTATCATGTGTCACAATGTGTGTGTTCGTGTGTTGTTTCTGTATGCCCACATTTTGTGCAATTTTTTTTAACTATCCTAGTTTTCAGCCAGTGGTGATGTTAGGTTGAGTTAAAATCTGGGATCTCTGCTGCCAAGTGGGGAAAACTTCCCATGTCCACAAAGGGTATGCTGAGCCAAGTAAAAGAGTGGAGGGAAAATATCAGCAGAAATATGCAACACCGTGCTCCCTCACCTTGAAATGGCAGTGTTCCCCTTGATAAAAGCGCTAATAAGCCTAATCAGGCCTGATTAATTACACTGATAGGCGCTGCATTTGCCAGCCTAATTGATGGCTTTATCTGTGTTTTGCACTAGGCTGAGGGGGTGATGGTGTTCCTCAGGAGGAGCTGGAAAGATTTAGCCCAAATGAAGGTTACTGGTGCGAGAACAGAGAGAGGGTAGGGTGGAGGGGTGGGGGGGTTGCTGATTGAAGAATACAGTGGAAAGAGTCAGGTTAGGTAAGTGTGAGGACGTTAAGGAATGTTGACTTTAAACTGTGTGCTGCTGTTTTCCCAAAAAGTATTTCTCTTTAAACCTGCAGTCTTTTCAGTCCTGCCCGTGCACTGCAACCCTCAGACATCAAAGTCCAAAAAGTGTCTGTCCCAGTCTGAATGAAAACACGTGTACTCAGGCTTTGTATAGGACTCCTGAGAACGGCAATTCATTCTTCTTAGAGGCCCTTTCAAAAACCTAATCTCTTGGTCATTACAAGAGAAATCACTTTTGGCCTTGTGCCACATAATCACCACTATTCACCTTCAGTAGGAATTTGAAGCAGTGAGAACAGTCAAAAATATTTTATTCAGGGAAGAATAGGTGTTGTTCATCAATATATATATATATATATATATATATATATATGTATATATTTTTATCCTTGTCAAGTTTGTTAAACAGAACAATGATGTATTTATTATCACTTCATTGTTATTATGTCATTGTAGTGAAGAGATTTCTATTTTAGAGTTCAGGTGCGATCAAAGTAGGTTTGAAATGGAAAAAAAAAGATTTTGTCCAGACTTATAAAAGTCGCTTCACCAGCCTTTACCTTATCAAAAGCCATTTTATACGCAATGCTAGTAAATACGCTTCAATATTGTGATGCATCATAGAAAAGTCTGTAGTTTATTCGTGGACCCCAAACTGACTTACAGTCTGTACAAGGTGCAGCATCCTCCGTTCTTAAACCCTCAACATAGATATAGAGTTTGATTTTCCGTCATTGTATGTGTAATATACACATGTTGACTGAAGTCCACATGATGAGCATGCAGAAAGATAACTCGGATCTACTCCACTGGTTTCAGTATGTTTTGACTTAGTTTGCATGTCTAATTTTAATGTGGATGTATGTGCAGTTATTTTACATGTGAACAGACAAAAGTACACATGGGATTTTAGACTAAAATGTCAAATTCTCTTTTCAATCGCCTGAGCATCTTTATCTATTTGTTGTCTTTTGTTCTGCATCAGCTGCAGCCTTTGTAGGATGTGCCCCTGTGTGGTATCTCAGACTTCAGAGCTTCTGGGACGCAGGGAGCCATGTGCTCTATATTTATCTAGCGCCATGATTTATTAATAGTCTCCCCAGTATGCGCAGCACTAAAAATACAGCGGAGCCAGAGCACCACATTCAGCATCTGCAGCTTCGAAGGGAGTGCATGGAGGCTGAGGAGAGATTTGTGTGTTCAGCAGCTTTCCACTGTAGCAACATGCATGTATGAAATGATCTGTGGATTCAGGTTACCTCAGTACACAAACTGCTCTCTGACTCAGCGCTTAAGTGACTCAGCCATCCTGTACAGTAATAACACAAGGTGAATAAGCTGGAAGTGAGATACACAACCCTTATTGAGGTATTTGCTCAGGTATTGTGTGTTTGATTGTGTTTAATCTCATCTCTGTTGCCTTCTCTCCCTATATTTTATTCTCATTTCCAGTATGAATACTTCAATGCAGTGCTGATCAACGAGGTGGATGAGGAGGGGAACAGTGCAGAGCTTGGAGGAGAATTCATCCTGCAACCCAATGACCACTTTAACAACCTGTCAGTCAACCTTAGCCTCAGCGTGGTCCAGGTACCCACCAACATGTACAACAAAGGTATGTCCAACAACAAAGGAAATGTTAGAAATACAAATATGCAGACAATGATTATTTTAATACTTTGAAAATATAATTGTTCTGAATCATTCAGCAATTTAGATCATTTAGATGATTGAAATCCTCTGAAAATGAAAAGAGCTCAGTACAATAGTAAGTATGGGTGTTGGTGCACATGGATGTACGCCTGCGTCAGGAGGAGGATTTGAGTTCATTAACTGTAACTCTGTGGATCATCTCTACCACACACTGACTTAATTAGCAGTTAAATTATCGGATATTCTGCTGATTTACCATCCACTCAAGTCCAACCAATCAAGTCATGGCCTTGTACAATGCTCAGTGGACAGAGTGAATGTCATGTCGGCTTATCCCAGCTGGAGCGAGAGAGGGAGAGGAGAAGAAAAAGAAGGAGAGAGTAAATGAGCAAGAAAGTAGGTTAATTAAAGCTATGTGGAAATAAGGAGAAAGTGAGAGTGACGGGAGGAGAGTGAATAAAAGGCAGAGGAATTGAATGAAAGTGCTCGGAGAGTGAGGTTGGCGGAGCGGTACAGGGAGAGGAAGAGTCATTTTGATTTGATTCAGGCAAATGAGCAGAAATGCATGTGCACATGTGCATGCACAGACATGAACTCACACACACGGTCACAGATCATTTTTGGGGACGTTACATTGATCAATCAAATCATGTATTTGACATATATGCAAATACAAGTTCTGTCTGATATTAAATGTCAAAATGAGCCTGGGAGAGGAGGCAGAGGCAGTTTGTGAACCTGCTGTGTGTTCATCTGTTGGTGGAGCTTACTTCAAGTGCATTTGCTGTTAGCATTGCATGGACAGCTAGCGTGGGACATTAGCATGACATCCAGATACAGTATATCGTGTTTCTCTGGGAATCTGATTTGTTGTTGATGTTATGACCCCAGTACCAAGTGTTAGGCACCAAGCATTAAAGGTTGAGTGTGTAGAATCTAGTGACATCTAGTGGAGAAGTTGCATGCTACAGCTGAATACCCCTCACTTCCCCCTCCCCTCCCAAACATGATAGAGAACCTGTGGTAGCCTTTAGTCATCTTAAAAACCCAAGGAGGTGTTTAGTTTGTCCAGTCTGGGCTTCTGTAAAAAAAAAAAAAGGTGGCCTGCATAAAGAGGACCCGCTCCTGATGTAAATATAAAGTATTTGAATATAAAGGGCCTATTCTAGGGTCAACAAAATACATTTTATTTACAATGAAACAAACTGGTAAAAACTTCAGTAGGATTATTTTATATTCAATTTCTGCCTGTAGATCCCTTTCACCTAAATCTTACATACTGAACCTTTAAAGTAACGCATCATTGGAAGCCTTCTGTGTCAACACTGTTGTGTTGCTGATATGCACGGAGCGGCTGCGTTTTCCTCACATGAACTACATCATCGTCATCTGAAGCTTTTCTTTATGCTGCTGAGGTGTTGGCTGTAGTCTGTGCTATTCATAAATGGTTCGGTGGCAGCAGTGATGAATTGGAGGTTGAGTCCTTGATAGCAGAAAGCTTTGTGCCCCCAGAGATTAATTGCAGGAGGAGTGCACCTCATCAAACATCCATCTTCCAAACTTCCATCCTAACCAAAACACCAGCTCCCACTATCATGCTTTATGAGGCTACATGACAGGATCATGTACCACGGCTGCAATGAACCCACGCTCACATTAGTGGCAGGTCGATACACTCTAATGTCCGTATATGGTACTTACATTTATAGTCTCTGACACTAAGAAGTGTTCACTTCTCCACATGAGCACATGCACTCACTCATGCACACAAACACACATTGCTCCTCACCCCTCTCCTGTTTCTACTCCTCTTGTTAAAACCATCCCCCATAATCACCGTAAGTAACCAAATAAAGATAGATTCAGTTGAGCTCGCTCGGAGTGGTGCAGCAGGGAAATCAAGACACTTCTACTTTTTAATCTGAGAACACGTGTGTGTACGTGTGAATGTAAGGGACAGCTTAGAGGGAAGCAGGGCTCCTACCTTCTCCCTCATCATGATGAGCTGAGATTGTGATAGACACTCAAACTGCACCAGAAGTGACTGTATCGCTGTGGAAATGGAGCTTGGATCAAATCCAGCCTCCTTTAGTCTTCACTCTGTGGAGGTGGATAGGTGTTTACTATCAGGTGGGGGCTGTAGGGCGCTAACTTCCAGAAGACTAATTCAATCATGGCTTATTGGCATGACTGTTGACAGCAGAACAATGTTGCCAGTATAGGAGATGATGGGAAATCTGTTATCTCCTTTTCTTTTCCCTGTCCATTAGGTGCTTCTCTGTCACTCTGAGTGATTTTCTGCCTGCGTTTCCCGTCTGCCCTCCTGGATTCTCTCTTTTTTTTTTTTTATCACTCACTAAAGGCTTTTGTGTATCCGTCTCACTGTATGATTGTCGGCCTGCTCATCCCGTTCTGCTTCCATCTTCCCTTCTGCGCTCCTGAGCCAAGAAAAATTGTGGTAGTAAGCAGCTGTAATAAGCTTGGCTGTCTGGTTGGAAACCAGTTACACTCATTTGTCTCTTAGTCTGTTAAAGGAAAGCAAGCTCAAATGATTGGATATGCTTCACCGTCTATTACAGTCAGGTTGGAGAGAATTAAAAGCTAAACGTAGAATATTGTTCAGAGACTCACACTGTATGTTGCATATGTGCACACATCAATACTGCCCTACAAAGGCAGAGAGCAGTAACTACAGACATACTGGAGAATATAAAAAGAGAAATGGTTGACTGGCAGATTGTTGTTTTATAACTTTTATCTGTCAAATGATGATCTCAAAGAATAATTGCCCCTACACTCAGGGGTTAAATTGGACTGGAGCTGAGCTGTGCAAAGCAAGACATCAAACATCCACTCAGGGAGGGACAGTTGTGGACAGTCTGTTGAGATCACTAGGACATTTTCCTCCTGGCCTGAGGGTCATTTGTGATGATATGACAAACAGGAATAAATTGATGGATCTATTATATCAAGTGCTTATCTTACCTGTGCAGGATGTTTACATCACTGAGCTGTGGGTATGTGTCCAGAAACTGCTTCTACTATACAGCCGTATCATCCTATACTGAGTTTACCACAGATAATGGCTGTCAATACCAAAAATCATAGATGAACTGAACTACTAACATGTGAGTTCATAATTTAATATTACTAATTCATCATAATTACCAGATTGCAAAATCTGTTTAAAAGTTTAGTTTTAGCTTACTGGGTGCAACTTAACTGTGAACTCAACAGCTGAGGTGGAGTTACTGTGTTTTAGCTCTATCTTTTATATACTGCAAATAAATGATACATCTCTGGGCTTAATTCTGTCCAAACAAGATGGCAGAATATTCTCTAGTCGTTCTTATTGTCTTTCATCTCTCTCATTCCTTTTCTCTCTTATTCCTTTTCTCTCTTCTCATCTTTTCCCTTTATTTTTTCTGCTAAAATTTGCCTGCATCTCTGTGTAATGAATCAGCCCTGATAGTGATCTGTGGAGGAGCAGTGTGTGAAATGATATGACTGGATGAGCGGCCACTAGAGAAAACCTGTTTCGACCTCCTGGACAGCACAAAGCTGCATCAGAATAGCACCTCTTGTCTCCTCTTCACACTTGTCTTTCACCTTGCATATTTTTTCCTTTTTTTTTTCTTTTAGACTCTGCAATTGTCAACGGTGTGTTCTGGTCTGAGGCCTTGAATAAAGTGTTTGTGGATAACTTTGAGAGAGACCCATCGCTCATATGGCAGTACTTTGGCAGTGCCAAAGGATTTTTCAGGCAATACCCAGGTGAGTGGATGGGTGTTGGGTAGTGTGTGTGTGTGTGTGTGTGTGTGTGTGTGTGTGTGTGTGTGCGTGCGTGCGTGCGTGCGTGCGTGCGTGCGTGCGTGCGTG